CTAAATCATTAAACTTGCGAAATTCATTTGAACAAGTGCTTGACTGGAACAGACAGCTATTTGAGGATGATGTCAATCGAATTTCTGTGGCTGATCGCAAATCTGAGGAAGCACCTGTGGATTTGATGCTGGGAGATAAGGAGTTCTGGCGATATCCTGTGAAATCTCTAATTCCTTCTCCAAGCAGTGACAAAGTGAAATTTAGTTCGGAACACTCCAGTCATTCTCTGAATGATGGATTCCGAGTTACGTCAACAGTAACCTATACAGATCGTTTGTACAAAAAAATGCCACGAAATCTGCGATTTTCGGAACGAATGTCTCATTATGAGAAAGCAAATTTCTTGAAGACGTTCAACAACGAAGACGAATATTCCACGATCATACCGCACTTAGAAAATATGAAGCCGCCGCTTTCTCGCGCATCCAGCGTTTTTGTCGTTTACACAGACCGAAACTTGCTGGCATCACAAACTGAGGTAACAGCAACAACGGCTTCACCAAAAAGTGAAGACCAACATAATGAGGGAGAAACGACGTCAAATGGGGGGCGGCAGACACCCCAGCCACACAGTTCCGAAGGAACGTTAGTAGCGAGGTTTAGTGCCAACGGCGGTGCTTCGGAATCGCCCTCTCAATCTATACAGCATATGGAAAAAGTGCGAGTTAATCAAATGCCTGACAGTACAAACACGGGAAGCGCTTTGAATGACACAGTTGGCGCAGCACCAACTTTTTCTGGATCGCGGTCGCTTCAGTCCGTTTTTACGGAAACGCAAAGCGACAATAAGAAAAGAAGAGGTGATCATAAATCAATACGACGTTCCGCTACTTGGGCCTTGAGAGGCGGAAAATCTCGGAAAACTCACCAGGTGACGAATATATTCGAGCAGTGCGAGCGCGAAAGCATTTCAGGTGATGGATCAAAGCTGCACCATGCCGACTGCTTGATGCGTGTCAACTTTTTCGCGGAGCGCATGACGGAACATATTGCCGAACTTGCTGCTATTGATCTGGCAAATCGCTTTAAAGCAGAACTGAACCCAAGAGCTATATACTTCTCGCAGATGTGCAACGATGTCGATGTGCAGTCTGAATGGACCGCCGCCACATCATCTGAAAGCGGAGATGAGGAAGCGGTGGAAAGAAAAATCATACCCAGGTAGTGTCCTTTATTAGCATGCTTAATGCGCGCAATTCGTTCGCGAATTTGTCCATCTGTGTATTAATATTTTTCATTTTTTCGAACATTGTACTAAACCTGGGCCGGGTTAGACTGGGCTTGAAGAAATGAGCTTCTTTATACATTGCTTATTTCCTATGTTGGTTTTATTCAAATGTTACATATTTGCTCAGATTTAGTCTTACTGC